CTCCTCCATTCCTATAGCTATTCTGAGTTCATGCCAGTACTTTCTTGCCTGGTTTAGTCTAGTTTCTCAGCCTTTATTCTTGTACCCTATAGTCAATTTTTTACAATGCATCCACAGGGAATTTTCTAAAAGCTCACTTGATAATAGTGTTTTGTGCTTAAAATCCTTCAGTAGCTCTCCAGTGTCTTCTGGATAAAGTCTAATATTTTAAATATATTTTTACATACTTTTCTTAATCCAGTTCAATTTTACCACTAGATTATACTATAGGTCGCTGAATTTTTATATTTTCTCTTCCCTCTAATTCTGCGTGTGCTGCTCCATTTGCCTGAAATGCACTTTCCCTGCCCACTTCCTCTTTTCTTTAGCTTGTCCTATTTTTATTTTTAATCCCTATTTTTTCCTTCCTTCAGAGACTCTCCTTAATTGCCTCCAAAGGCTGGTTGTCTTTCTTCATATTTCCACAGCATCCTAAACTTGCCCACATCATAGCATTTATCACAATGTACTATAATTGCCTGTAATATTGTGTTTTTTTCTCCCTAGACTGTGAGCTCCTTGAGTGCAGGAACTACATCGTGTTCTTCATTGTATTTCCAAGTTCTAGCCCAGCTACCAGACACTTAAATATTAAACATAAATTGAAAAATATTTGTTGAAGGAATGTTTGTCATGGAAGTATGCCATTATATAAAGGACCTTCTTTTGAATACTTCCAATAGAATTTAAGGTGAGGATTTCAAGCCTATTTGTTTTATATTGAGGGTAAAAGTTTGATTCCTTAAAAGCACTTATCACAATGTGTAATAACTTGTTTGCTTATTTACTTGTTAGTTTCTTAAGGGCGAAGGTTGTATCCATCTTGTTTGTTAATGTATTCTTATTGCCTGGAGCATAGGTGCTTGATTTCACCGTCTCTATTGGATTATTTCCAGTGGTGTACAAAATTCTCTAATATCTTCCATCTGTAAAAAAAAAAAAAAAGGAAACCCAATTTTTCCTTCTCCCATCTTAATTCTCATTTCACTGATTCTTCTTTTTTAGCAAAACAGAGGAGGTGTCTATACTTGTTTTACCACTTCCTTTCTACCCTTTCTTTTTTTAACCTGCTCCATTCAGGCTTTCACTCACGTGACTTCATTGAAACTGCTCTTGTCAAGATATCCATGTTGACATATCTAATGGACACTTAAATTTTCAGGAACTTTCAACACAGTTGACCCCTGCCTCTTTGGGTCTTTTCTTATTCCTCCTCCTCCTCATTCTTTGCTAGATCCGTCTCTTTGAGACCTGTGAGTATTGTCGTCTTTGAGTCTTAGTCCTGGGCCCTCTTTTGTACATACACTTTCTTTCATTCATTCCAGTATTTCAAATTCTGTGTATGAGTTGATGTTTCCCAAGTTTTTCTCTCCCATCCTGACTTCTCCCCATACCACTCAGAATCTCCACATGGATGTCTAATAGGCAATTTAAACTTAATGTATCCAAACTTAATCTGCTCGATTTTTCTCTTCAAACCTGTGCTTCCCTTGGTCTTTATATCAGGAAATGACTTCCATTTAGTTACTCAAGGCAAAAACCTAGGAGTCAGTCCTTGGTTTTTCTTCCCTTTACTCCTAGTAGAAGTCCTGTTAGCTGTATTTCCAAAATAACCCAGTTAGCCACCATCAGCTCTTGCCTAAAATATGTGGTAGCAGTAGCTCCCATCACCCTTTCACCCTTCCTATGATTTATAAGATCCTACATGACCTTGCCCCCTACGTTTTTCTAACACATTTCAAACATCTCCCTCCCAGAGTGTACTCAGCCACTCTGTCCTCCTTTTTCTTCTTCAAACAGGCAAAACCCACTCCTGCCTTGGAGTCTTTGTCTTCTCTCTGCCAGAATGTTCTTCATTACCTTCTTCTTATGTTGGTTCCTTTTAATTCTTTATACCTCAGTTCAAATTCCACATCTTTGGAGAGGCCTTTCCTGACCACTGTATCTAAATTTGGCTCCCTCCAGTTGATTGCTATCAACTCTTTCTCTCCTAGCAGCACTTACAAACATATTGTTTATTTTGCTTCTTCCCATTAAGAACTAAATTCCTGAGAGTAGGGACTCTCTTGTTCAGCACTGTATCCTCAGTGTCTAGAATAGAGTTGGAAACTTTGGAGGGACTCAAGAAATATTTGTTGAATAAATAAGTGATTGTTTTCTGGTGCCTTAAACCACTGCCATTCCCTTATTGAGGAAGCAGTAAATCACTAGTTGGCTTAAGAGGCTTTGAAATTGAGGTACCCTGAGTTCATCTAAGTGTGATTAGGCAGTTTTACTTGATCATCTTGATTCTAAATGTCTTGTTCTGAGATGTTATCAATGAAAATTTGTTTCAGGAAAATTTAGCACAATTGAGGCTATACTTATTTGCATGGTGGTTAAGGGAGCAAAATTCCAGTTTTATTGCCACCTTTTCCTATATCTGCTAACCAGAAGATAGTGCCCAGTTTTCTAAGATATTGGAAGTAGATGGACTGAGACCCATAGACTGTTAGGGTTTGGATGAAGGCTGAAGCTTTTACTCCTGAGTGAAAATGTAGGTCTTATGTCTAACCCAACAGTTCCACATTTATATAACATTAATGAATAAAATAACAATTATTTCTTTCTCACATTTCCTCCTGTTGATGTCCTAAACTTAAAGAGGATACTTTAAGACACCTCAGCTGCTTTGTGGGAAGACGTAGTATGAAGTAAAAGGAAAAAAAGATAATATACACCATTATTGAATTTGAACATATTTTCAATTTAATCTGTGTAATTAAATATAACATGTCCTTTTTATGAGAGACGTACCAGTTCAGTCCTCTCGATTCTAATATTTGTGTATTATGCTGTAGCATAAAGGATATGTGATGAATGATAGCAATTAAATTTAGTTTTTTCTGTACCTTTCAAGTATTAAGACTAAATAAGACTATAGAAATGAAGCTATTACATTAGAGAATATGAAAACGAAGTATCTCTTATGCAAGCAATGTTCTCTCCCTTACTATTAATATCTGTAATTTTCCATGAGGTAACTGTTTTCCAAGATGAGAGCACATAAGGTTAATGTATTTAGAAACTTCCTTCTGAGGGGACCTGGAACCACTACTCTTCTCTGTGCCAGCTACAGACCAGCCAGGAGTTTTCAGTGTCTTTGGTCTTATATAGACTTCAGACTCTTTCCAATTCACACTCATTTAATGTAACTTGCTAGTATAAAAAAAAACCCCAAAACTTCCCAAAATGATTGATTCATTCATTGACTTATAGGATGTGCATTTTCTCACTTCTGAAAAATTACATTGACTTCATTTTTTGTTTACAAAAATTTCATTCCATGTTCACGTTTTGTGAGAAAACTATACATAGCTCATTTTGCCATATTAAGAAATCTTTCAGTGTTTGGCACCAGAATCCAGATTATCTTAAATTTATAAGTGATAAAGTCCTGCTATTTTACTCTTGTATTGCCCAGTAACTTCTGGAGCTTGGGCAATATACAGAGGAACTTTGAATGAATCTTAACCTGAGCACCTCAAATGTGACCTCTACAGAGACCTTCCCACTCCCTCATTTCATTGTTTAGTTCTTATTCAGAATACTTGTCTGAAATTACCTTGTTTACTTACTGTTTCTTCATACAGAAAGTTAGCTCTTGTCTTTTTTTTGTTTGCTTTGGATCCCCATTGCTTAGACCAAGGGCACTTAAACATTTGTGGAATGAATTTCTTGATCATATATATGCTTTAAAAATATTGTACTATTGAAACATATTGGCCACTGAAATTCTGAGATATATATTCTGCCGATCTTTCTTTTTTCTATATAAGACCACTTATTTTATAGTTAAACTCTAGCTGCAAATCAGCACGAGTTGGTAGCCACTTACACAACTTGATTTGTATGCCTAGTTAAATGAAATTCTCAAAAAAGCATTTTTAACTAACCTTCCAACTACATAACTACAAAGCAGTCGTTTCCTGACACATTTGTCAGAGAATTGCATTCCATGGTACAAAATTTCTCATCCTGAAGGGGGAGTGGGTGAATGAGTGGGGGTGCTGAAAATTTATAAGACCAGTTTGAGCCGACCACTGATAAATTTTGGCTCCCTGGGTTTATTAAGACTGTAAGGTCACTTATGAGCAATGTTTTTCTTCTTTGGAAAGCTGTTTCCATCCTATAAAACCCATTTGTTACAATTACATAATTTCCTTTCTCCCTCCATACCTACACATTCAGGTTGAGCCTAAATCCTAAACCTATTGCTAACTCTGCTATGGGGCTAATTTAATTCGCAGTGTCAGGCAGGGTTCTTGTCGCAAACTCTGAGGGCAGCTGCTTGCAGGTCTAGGCCATCCCTGCTGGGAGTCATGGCTATGGCGAGTGTCTTTGCAGGGTCCTCCACCAGACCCCGTGAGCCAGTCCAGCGCGTCAAGCTCTGAGTCCACACTTTTTCGCGGCCCGGCGCGGGCGGGCCTGTGGCCACGGCCTCAAAGTCCAGCTTATGCTGCAGACGCACGGGTAACGCTCGTGCGCCTTTATCGGCTCCGGGGGTCACTGGACGGCGCCAGGCGCCAGGTGGAGGTGCGAAGCCACAGGGGACGAAGAGGGAGGGTTGGCTGTTCGCGGTGCTCTAAGCATCTCTTTAAGTTGAGGGTGCGCGGAGCCGAAGGCTTCTGCATTCCAAAGTCTCTGGCGTTGTCCCCGCGCCACCCCACTGTAGCCTCAGATAGCAGCGGACAGCGTCCCAGAGGACTCAGACCTGAGGGCGTTCCTGCTTGGCTTCCCCGGCCACCCCACCCCTCCACTCGCTTCCGCGCACGCCCCGCCCCGTGAGCTGCCACGTGAGGGAATCCACTCGCCAGCCTATGGGCGTCTGCTCCGCCCCACGCCCCCACCTTGCCCCCTGCTCCGCGCGCTGCCACGTGATGCGGCTCACCGCCAGCCAATCAACGCCGGCCTTGCCTCGCGCCCCGCCCCGCGCGCCGTGGCCGTTTGAAGTGACTAATTTCTGTCATATGACTGAGGCGCCCATGGGGGTGGCGGGGCGGCTCTAGGAGCGGGGGCCTGGTAAGCGCCCTCTGAGGCGAGACCCTGGCTTGGCCGTGGCCAGCATGGCTCCTACGCTGTTCCAGAAGCTCTTCAGCAAGAGAAACGGGTTGGGCGCGCCTGGTCGGGACGCGCGGGACCCGGATTGCGTGTTCAGGTAGGGCGCTGCTGGGCGGGGGGCGCGGAGCCGACGGCCTTGTGGCTCCGTGCTCCAGACGTGCTGGGGCCTTCGATGTCCACGCCCGCGCGGCACCTCCGCGCGGGGACCCGGACTCGGGCCGCGGTCGGGAGGGGCCAGGCAGCTGCGGACCTGCGCTGGAGGCTTGCAGCGAGGTTCTCTCCCCACCCCCCACCCCGCCGATGCCCCTTCCCCCTCCTCCGGGTCGGTTTGTTTACGTCCTGCTCAGCAGCCACGCGCGGCTTTGCCCCTCTGGAGTGAGCATCGCGGCCTGAGCGTAGGGGCCACACGCCTTTCTGGCGGCAGAGAGTTGGGCGCGGGTTGGACTGGACCTCAGCTGCCGTCCTCCGGGCCGAGTTTTTCCCTCCTCCCCGTGACCAGTCGCCCTCTGCGTGGTTGGTGGTGAGAGAGCTGCACGTTTTGGCCAACCTTCATGAGTGTAGAAAAGGCTGGAGGAGCGAGTGGGCAAGGTGCCGTTCTTTCAGGATTCTTGGAAACTAAAATTGGAGGTGTGCGGTTACCAGACCGAGCGGCCTTACTGTAATGTTATCGAAGGAAAAATGTGAAGGCTAAGAAATTATGGTTACTACTGACCGGACTGAAGCAGAACCCAATCACATGAAGCGTGGCGGTAGAATTGACCAAAGAACCATCCCCTCGGAACTGTTACTACAAGAAGTCTTTAAAAAATTGAAAACAATAGTAAATATTTTGTGTCATTACAGGCTTTGTTAATTTTTGATTGCAGTACCTGTTGCTGGTAGAAAAATTAAAAATTATAAAACAATATAATGTAAACCCGAATTCAGGGTAGAATTTAGTCGTCAAGCTGCATTTGAAAAGATTGTCTTTCAAAGAGCCTTCATCCTTGTTGCAGTGTGGAAACTTACATATATAAAGCTAGGCTTAATGTCAAATATCACTCATACTAGGTAGGATAGCAGAGAGCTATCGTTGTGCAGTCGTAGTAGGAAAAAATGAGAATCTGTTAAATTTTGCAGCAGGCAAAAGTGTGAAATGACTGTACTACACTGGTTTAAAAAGTTCTGGTATTAAAATTATTCACCCGCTCTCGGTAATGGAGGTCACATTAGCTGACATTCAGTAATACGTGTGGAATTGAAGTAATAAATGGAAAGAAATTTAGCCTTAGAGGAGGAAAACTCTCCTCTAAGTTGTGAACCTCTTGGAAAAATGCTCAGTAAAAGACAGTTTTTGTAGGTTTTTGTCTTTCCCACTGGGAAATAAATGTCTTGCCATGCTCATCTAATTACTTTCTTTAAAAAATTCTTTTGGAAAAATGAAAGTGCAGTCTAGATAATATTACATCGAGCCATCCAGTAAATTGAGAGTCAGTAGAAAGCAGGTTCAGGTGGGATATTAAAAAGGTGACAACTGTAAAGGCTTTCTATTTCTGGCAAAGATTCATTTGGGGTATTTAGGTTACCAGAGGTCTCAAGTCATTCATGTGAAAAAACATTTTCGTGTCTATTTAAAAAAAATGTGAAGTCTACTATATAGTTGTGTAATACTACCTTAGAGTTGCCAAAGCACTTTCTCATTTGTTATCTCGTGCTATTTCACAACAACCTTGGGAGATAGGACGACAAGTAGCAGTATAGATAACTATATGATCCTTTTTCCAGTGGAAGTAAAAATTAAGTGTAAGTCCAGTAACTGCAGTACATGTAAAATGATTGCTTTAAAAATGAAAATTTTTGAAAAAAATTTTAATTTGGTGAAGAAGGTTGTTTCATAGTTAAATGCCTGTAGGACAATTCACTTTTTGTTCAAAAAATAATTTTCCATATTTTTGTTTCAGTCCTAATGCATGAACATTTGCTCATATTGTCTGTAGCAGGAATTTTTAACTTTTTGCAACTATTTCTTAATTGGTCTTTCCACCATCACACTTGCTTTTCTTCAAACTACTTCCAGCACTTCACCCTTTAAAAGCAAATTCTGATCATGATCAGCAGGCAAAATAGTATAGAATTTGAATGTCTTCATTACAGTTATTTTAAGAATTCAGAGATAAGTTATGTAAAGTACTGAATGCAGTGTTTAGCACAAGGCTTTCAGGAACCAGAAGTTACTGTGATGATCTCACGCTTACGTGTAAAACCATTCAGGTTAGGCCCAAGCTCCTTAAAGTGTCCCTGTATGGTGTGGGTTTTGCAAAGTCTTTAGCCTTGATTTTTGAATTTTTATAAGGTCATTTTTTAAAAAACATAGGCATTATTTTATTATTACACTTAAGAGGATTAACAGAAATTTAATTATTATCTAAGTCTATATTCAAATTTTCCCAATTGTCTCAAAATGTCTTTTTACAGTAGGTTTGTTTGACTCAGAATCTTAAGAGTCTGCATATTGCATTTGCAGTTATGTTGCTTCAGTAATTTATAACACCTTCCTTCCCTTTTTGAATAGTTTTGTTATTGAAACTGGGTTATTTTCCCTGTAAAATTTCCCACATTCTCCATTTAGCTGTTTGCTTTCTTATAGTTTTCTTTAATTCTCTAGTTCCCAGCAAATTATTTTAACAAGCCCCCTCCAGGTGATTGCGATGGTCAAGTTAGAGAGCCATTGCTTTATAACCTATTCTCTGTTTCCTGAAAACTGGTGGTTTGATACTTTATTAGATTCAGGTTCAGTTTTTTGGTGTTTTTTTTTTTAATAAAAATATTCCATAGATGTTGATGTGTACTTCCTATCTATCAGAGTTACATAATGTCTGGTTGTCACACTTTAAATGATGCTAAGGTTGATTACTGATTTCAGGTGGTAGCAACCTTGTTCTAGTGTACATTATAAAATTCTCTTTTCACTAATGGCTTTACTGTCTTTTGTTGATTTTTGCCTGAATTCATTAGCTTGTTAGGGCTTGTGAAATGGTGATATCCCAAATCTTAAATTCTTTCTGTGTTTATTTCCTGGAAGAACTTTCTCTTACCACCTATTTGGTTACTCTTTGCTACAGGAAAGGCAGCATGAAAGTTTGATTGTTTCACTTTATCATTGTTTCAGAATATTTCTGAGTTGTTCAGTGAAGGTTTTCATTTTAATTATCATTTTATTAGTACCATCATGAGTTCTTGGATTTTAAGGTGTTTTAATCCATTGTAGTCATATTGTCCATTTTTGGCCATTGGAAGACTTCAAATTAACTTATGTGCCCTTCTGATGTGATCTCATTTGTCTCCTAACTTCTTGCTTCCTTTGGCCTTGTCTTAATCCCCTCTCCTATGATTTTATCATCTTGAACTTGTTTTAGGTTCTGGGATGTGCCATGCTGTGCTGTTCCCTGTTTCTTGGCATAGTGTTATATATCTTTTTGTTTAGCTTTTTGTAGTGATCATCTGCACTTACCTTAACTCTCCTTCCTCTAGGAAGCCTTTTCTGATTTCTCCCAGACTGAGTTAGGTTCCACTGTAATTTCTTCCATAGCTTACTGGATTTTCTTCTGTGACCTTTATCACAGTTATCATTACTTGTCTTCATCTCTCTTTGCTTTCTTAAGAGCACTGTTCAACTTCAAGGCGTATTTTGGAGTTAGAACCCTGTAGAGCCACTTAATGAGTTGTTGGTGGGGAACAGATACCTACGTTTCTGGCTGGAGCAGTTAGGGGGACTCCATTTTCTGAGGGAGAGTGTATAATATTGTGGAGGCTTATCTTGAACACCCTATCAAAAGCATCGGTTCTCGTCCCTATTTCCTATCAGTACACACTGCTTATATCCTTCATAGCCCATTTTACAACTTACCTGTCTCCTCCAAGTTCAAATTGTTATGCCATTGTACAGCACAGTGCGTGAGCATATACTTAAATATTTGTAGAATGAATATATGAAATAATTTTGAGGGCAGAGAGAGAGAATGAAAAGTTCTATTTTGGACATTTGGTCTAGTTTTAATTGCCAATGAGATGCCCACTTAGAGATTTCCATTTGACAGTTTAAGAAAGTAAATCTGAAGTTCACAGTAAAGGTTGGGACTGGGGATATGAATTTGGGCTGATTGTCAGTATTAAAACTAAGGGAATGGATGAGCTCCTCTAGGAAAAGGGTGTAGACAGAATTGGAAATAACAGGGCTTTGCCCTGAGAAATCTATAATGTATCGATGTAGAAGAGAAAAGTCTACAGTGAAAGAATGGCAAGAGAGATGGGGGGGAAACCAGGGGTGTATGGTGTTAGGAAAGCTCAGAAAAGGAAGTGTTTCAAAATGATGGAATGATGAACAGTTTTGTATGCTGATTGCTGACAGGTGTGTGAGATGAGAAACAGAAAAATATTGGATTTGTCAAGTTAGAGATAATTGGTGACCTTAGTGATTTGGGGGGTCTTTTTTTTTTGAGGGAGAGCGTGTTTAGGGGAGAAAGTGAGATAGATGTGGAATAAATGAGAGGTGAGGAAATGGCTTTACTCCTGAAGTTTTCTATTTCTGTAGGAGAAAAACTCTGTAGTGCTGAGTTATTTTTTCACTCTCAGTCTGATTTTATCATATATTCTGAGCTTCTGAAATTCTTAAAAGCTAGCTTCTTAATATTGTCAGTATCTGTAAGAATCTTATTTCAGAAATTCTATTTTTTCAGTGTGATTTTTATAAAAATTTGCTACATTCACAAGGGTTTTATTATTTTTAAAATATTACTCCTACATAACTTGAACCTTTTAATCTTATATTAGAAACAATAGTTACAATTATTATTTACAGAGAATCCTGTGGGATCATATCTTTCTTATTAGAGTGGGAAGTTGAAAATTGTAAGTAATTACATGTCAACGATCTGTGGTATCAATATTTGGTCCTACAAGTCTTAGTTTTTCAGTAAGAAATAAGTAGTGGTATTAGATTTTTTAGAACCATGTTTTTTGAAAGAAAATAGATTAGTGAAAAATATAACTTCAATATTTAGTTGATAAAACTTAGACCTCATTTCTTACTAATATAACAATTATTGTCTTAAATCCTGC